AACAAAGGGTTGTTCAAATGGTGGATACAGAACCTAGATCAACTTCCCAACAAATTCAAGCTGATCTGGAGACACAGGGTACAACAGTGTCAGCTCGCACTATCCATTGCCATCTGGATGAAAAGGGACACTATGGTAGGAGACCCAGGAGGACACCACTGCTGACACAAAGGCATAAAAAGCAAGACTGGAATATGGCAATACTTATGTGACAAAATCACAGTCCTTTGGGAGAACCTACTGTGAGACAAGTAGAGCTTTTTGGTCAAGGACATCATGGCACTGTTTACAGAAAAAGAAATGAGGCATTCCAAGAAAAGAACAATCCCTTCAGTCAAACATGGTAGAGGTTCAAAGGTGTTTGGGGGTTGCTTTGCTGCTTCTGACACTGGATGCCTTGATGGTGTGAACGGTATCATGAAATCTGATGATTACCAAAGAATTTTGGGGTGCAATGTAGTGGCCAGTGTCAGAAAGCTGCATCTCCACCAGAGATCATAGGTCTTCCAACAGGACAATGACCCAAAACACACTTCGAAAAGCTTTCAGAAATGGTTACAAACAAAGCGCTGGAGATTTCTGAAATGGCCAGCAATGAGTCCAGATCTGAATCCCATAAAACACCTGTGGAGAGATCTCAAAACAGTAGTTGGAAGAAGGCATCCTTCAAATCTGAAAGCCGTGGAGCAGTTTGAAAAAGAAGAGAGGTGTAAGAAACTAATTCATGGTTACAGGAAGCAATTGATTTCAGTTATTTTTTTCCAAAGGGGGTGCAACCAAATTTTAAGAAGGATGCCAATAATTTTGGCCAGTGCATTTTTGGGTTTCTGTGTGGGATTGTATCAGATCTGACTTTTCTTTGGGGTTTTTGTGTTGTTCCAACGCAAACCAAAGAAATGAATGTGTGAGTACCAAACATTTGCAACTGCAACAATTTTCTGAGAGAAGGGTTGCATTTTCTGCAAGGTTGCCAACAGTTTTGGCCATGACTGTAGGTCCCTTTCCATTACTTGTCACCGCCAAATACCAAACTGGAGATTAATTTATGGCTTTCTTTCCATTCTATTGTTGCATGTTCTCTTTCATTTTGAGCAGATTATGTGACATACACCTCAAAGGGCCGTGGAGGCAAAAAAAATTGTATCCCAGATCTACAAAATTTGTCCACTACTGCAGTGGTGCCCCGCATGACAATGATAATCCATCCCATTGAAATCACTGTTTAATGAAATCGTCGTCATGCGAAATCTGTTTCCCCATTGGAATGCATTGAAACCCGTTTAATGCATTCCAATGGGCAAAATACCTTGTTGTCCAGTGAAGATCGCCCATAGGGAAGCCATTTTGCGAGTGCAGATCAGCTGTAAAAATGGCTGTCCTGCGAAGCATGGGTCCAGAAAACACAGGGCAGCCATTTTGCAATGCCAACGATCAGCTGTAAAAATCATTGTCTTGCGAACAAATGGTTCGTGAAGCACGGACCTAATCAACGTCCAGCGAAAATCCCCCACTGGAATGACTGTTTTGCGAATCGCTATAGCGATCGCAAAAAGTCATTGTTATGCGGATTCGTCGTTTAGCGGGGTCATTGTCTTGTAAGGTACCACTGTATTTGGGTTGACCAGTTGGCCTGATCCAACAGGATTCATCTTACAGTTTTTATTCAGATACATACAGTTGCAGAGATTCTATAATCATATGTCTTTTTGGAGTGATTAAGACATATAGTGTACCTACCTTGAATCAGATCTTTCATGTTTTATTAATAGAAATTTAGACTGTATTCACTTCTTATTGAAAACTTTCCATGGAACTCAAATACACTTTGGATACATAATAGAATTGGACTCAGTAGAGTCTGATGACTCAGATATCAATGGGGCATTGAATGTGGCCCAGATTTTTACCTGAACTTTTCAGGAGCTTTTCAAGATGCTGAATCTATTTGGGGTGAAGGTTTCAGAACATCCAATTGGCCCTGTAAAGTTCAAACTGTAACAGAGACTGGGTTCCTCAGTGCACTAACATACAAGTCAGTGGGCTTCATTGATTAAATTAGTCAAGACAAAGCAGCTTCATAGATGACATCAAAAACATTTATCTCTTTAAATTGATCAAGAGC